GGGGGGGGGGGCTTTAAATCTTGGTACTTTAAATCTGCTGCTTGTCACTGAAGTGCATGGAAGTTTACTTACCTGCCTGATAGTCGCGTTCAAAAAAAGAAAGAAAGGGACGGAGATGGAGTCTAAGCTGCTGAAATACATGTTTTGCATATCCATGTGAGGCAAATGCTCATCCGCTACAAGTGTTTCATCCCTATGCTGTAAAAAAGACAGGACGGTTCACCTGAATTCAGCGCCTTTTGACTTAATATCCACGACCGCACAATAACAGTTTCAGTGTAAACTGGTAGTAAAAGTTGTTGTGCATATGAAAAGATAATAAAAATAAATGTACAAGCAGTTGAAGATATGAAAATGAATGGAGATTATTATAAATAAAAAAGTAAGAACAGCTAAGAACGGCCAAGAACAAGCAGAGCTATTAAAGCCCAAAAAAGAGAACTGGCAACCGGGGACAGTAAGAGCAGGAAGTGGACGATTAAAAGGGAGAAGAAAGAAACATGAAAAATCCAAAAAAGTCAAAATCTGCGATTAGCTTGTTTTGTTGCAAACCTTACATTCACTGAATGGGAATGTATGCGACTTAATGGACCGAAACATTCCAAGTCAGAGTTTTTGCTTTTAGTTATTATTTTCTTTTTGGTTACAACCTTTTCCATAACTCCATACAAATTAAACTGTATGCATCTTAACTCAGCACTGCAACTGAACTTCGCCAGTACAAACGAAAAAAGAAAACTTTTTTGCGGAAACACTCAAAAAACTGATACAGTGAAAAAGAAAATTTGGAAGACCTGAAAATGAAGTAGCGAAGAAAAGGATGGAGTTGTATTAGGCAGATGATGTCTAAATGGGCTTCCAGAAATCTTTCAGCGATCGTTTTTGCACTGGATCAACTCCAGATGGTCCAGGTTGAAGGCTTTCACAGAATCTCAAAAAAAAACTCGAAAAAAAGATGACGGCATTTATTTGTTACCTAAGTAGCAAAGTTTTCACCAATAGCCCCAAAAAGCTAGCAATAATTACCCGTCGTGAATTGCTTGCAACAAACTGAAATTGTTCTGAGTCCCTTAAGGTATACTCGCCCGTTTGTCAACAGCAATTTGTCATCTGAACAAATTATAGAAGGTGCTTGGTTTTCAGCAAACAACTTCTCACCTATCCAAATTATTATGTATAAAAAAACACATGTTTTTTTAAAGTTTGAGATTTGTAATTAAAAAATAACGGAAAGAACGCCGGAAATGAAGGAAGGCTGAGAACTGTGTTTTTTTTAGAACTGTGTGCTGGGCCCACCGAAAGCATTGATCAAAGCAATTGGAAAAGTTACCAGCTTCGCAGCTAATTTCATTAATATAAATATTCTTTTAACGATAGCTGAATTTTGCTACTGGAAAACCCTGTTCTTGTCACTTTCTTGCGCTGCGAATGTAGAGGCGATGAAAAGTGGAATTAAAAATTTACTTGTAATTATCGGCATTTTCATTGAACTGACTCCAAAAGCAGTGACAATGTTTTTCTAGGAGGAATGCACGCTAGAAGAACTGTGTTGTGAGGATATTTTTTTTTTCAGTAAAATTAGCCCATTTCGCATTAGCCTTTCTCTGGACAAATCTGCTCCAAAAAACGCACAACAAAAATTTTTAGCTTTTTTTTATCAAAAAAAGAAAATTTCCGCGGTTTTTTTATTTCAAGTTTTCAAAAGACCTCCATATAATTATTTTTTAAGTATTTGTGCGTACGATTTTCTCTAAATTGCTGATTAGCGAGCGTTTTTGACGGGCAAAACTCAGAGTCTTCAAGAGTAAAACAGTTCAAACTTTTCCAAAAGCACTAAGTTTTGAAAAAATTTTCACTTTTTCTCTACGTGAGCAACAAAAAATTCCAAGTTTCATGAAAGGGTTTCTGGATTTGAATAAAGTTAGCATGTTGAAACTAAAATAAGTCCAGCCGAACTCAATTTTTTATTTAATTCCGTCCGGCAACCAATTCCAGACAACGCGATGAATTTGAAGAATACAGTAATCCAAGCGAGGAAAACAAAATTCATTGCAAATGCCAAGAAGAGAAACAACAGGGGATGATGCTCCTCTTCCTTTTTTTTTCATTAAACACCCAATAAATCTGGTTTGTTGATGGAGATGAAAATCGAGCATCCATCTTGAAGCTGACCATCAATTCGTGTATTTACTGCGAAAAGCCATTTTTGGCCGTTTATTGAAGAAATAAGAAAATGATATGTCTGAATTGGGCGAAAATTTCTACTATAAATTTTCGTTTCCGAAATAGACATTCAAAAGTACCACAAATTAAGCATTCATTTCAGGCAGACTATCAAAATTTTCTCCTTATCGCTGCCAAAATTTCCATTTGTCTCATGCCAAGAAGTCAAATTCTTAGCTGCATCTAGTAAAAGCAGCTGAGTATAAAATTAAAAATGCAAAAACAAAGATAAATTAACTTTGGGAGATGAAAAACGCTTCATTCTTTGACATCCTGGTCATTGCTACCTATGTGAATTATTTCACTGAGATTGACGTAAAAATGTGTTTGGTGCACTTGTAAAATATTGGTACTTAAATGATGTTTTTGGAGAAACAAATTGGAACGATGAAATTACTTGAACTCCTAAATTAAGTTATACGGTTGCGAAAACTCAAAATAAAGAAGAATGGAGAAATTGCCAGATTGTGCACAAATGGAGAGCATGAAAACTGCAGTAATATATAATAGTTGATTAAAGTACCAAACTAAAGTTTTGGGTAAACAAGTTATTTGTATAAACGACAAGAACTGCGAAAGTAAATAATCGAAAGAAAAAAGAAAGCATAAAATCTGAAATGTTCAACGAACTCACTAACCCTTCTTTTCCAGACAGTGAGCGGAGAAGGTGCATCGTTAACGTTTCGCATACGTCTTGATCCCACCACATGCTCAGAACTCGTGATATCGCGATTCTTCACAACAGCGATAGCTTTCATAGGTGAGCAAATGTAGGTACCACTTCGCGCCTTATAATCCTGAATTTGGAGGAAAACAGCTTTTGAAATTTTCACTTGCTCAGTAAGTTATTCAAATAATAGTGCTTTTCTGGCGAATATTGCTCAAAACTCATTGTTTTATGTTTGTGCGAAATTCAGTCACTAGAAAGCACGTTGCCAACCTTCAGAAAAATGAACAGACGGAAAAATTTTAATTCGATCGAAAAGACTAAAATACTGTCATTTTTTACGAACGTTAGGATCGCCAGCTAGCTGACCAAGCCACTGGTCAGGCTTAGCTCGGCTCGATTTGCTTCGACTTTTTTGGTTCTATGCACTAATGAGACATCACAGCATCTCATGCGTGTTATTTATTTGTCCGTGCGCTCGATAACGTACCCCGAGCGTCGGATAACGTTCCTCCGAGCGTTGAGTTTTAGGGGCTGGCGCGTGGAGGGAAGGAGTGGCATATAAAAGCTCATTATCAGTACTTATTTATGACGTTTATGCTTAGGTGAAGCTGAGAAGACGAGTAAGACCAGACAGCAGATTGGTCAAAGCAAATGAGGGATTTTGCGATCCGCTTGAGAACCATACTAGGAGATGCAGCTGATCAAGTATTTCCAAAAAAGTCATGAAGAAACAAGAAAGATTATAAACTGTACTTCTCTCCGTCCCTCTCCTTTTCCTTCCCCTTGCCGTTTTCCCGTTCGCTTTCCCCTTTTTGATTTACCATGCAAAATAAAGAGAAAGAGTAAGTAAAGGCATCTTCCTTCCCACTTTTCGCCCTTTTTGAGTTAACAAAATTAGATGATGCATACTCCTGTAATAATGCCGTTATCCGTATGCCGTCTTTTATCTTTGTCGCCGGATAGTATTTCATGAGCAGAAATCAACAGATGAGGTACTTCTAGTTTCCGATCAATGGCGAATGATGTGTAAGCCCTGGATGAAGGTTTGCTGGAGTTGCTCGGTTGGCCAGAAGCGATTTTTCCCGCTTCTGTCGCTCGTTTCTGAACACTTGTAAAATCGATCGCCGGCTTCTCACTTTGTTGCAAATTTCTTGAAAAATTTGGAGATTTTTTCAACGGTGTGCGTTTTTTGCGTGTCAGAAAACGCCACAGGCGCGAAGACTCGGTGCCCGAGGTAGACCGTATGGCACCTTTTGTTCCTGCTGTTGTAAAGCAATTTCTCGGATCGCAACTTGTGGCATTGTTGGAATTTTCGGATTGTGTTGATTTTCGCGCATTAACAACGACCGCATGAACCGACTGTTTACGCCGTTCGGATGGTCGTGCCATTAGCGTGATATTGGCTGTAACCTCTGCCACTGCGAGTGAACGACCAATATCCTGGAATTTTTTGTAAAAAATCAGCAAAGCGAGTGAAAATCAACGCCAAATTTCAGTGGCAAAATTTTCTGATGCACTCCTTCTGGGCAAAGTTCAAGAGTGTATACCTTTAGTAGTAGGGGGGTAACGCATCCTGAAATACATGTGGTGTAAGGAGGGTTTTGTTTTCTCACAAAAAATTTTTTTTTGCAAAAAGAAAAAATCTTTTTTCCCAAAAATACAAAATCTTCCTTGCTTTTTTGCAAAAAAGCAAAAAATTTTCAAAAATGAGCCGACAGTCCACAGTACTGCTGTTTTTCCCAGCTCGAGCTCCCAGGCAAAATCGCTTGCCTTGTAGATTCGTTTGAGGTATCAGTCCGACGGCAAGCCACGCTATTCTGAGGAACTAGTTCACAAGCAAGTGGCTTTAAGTAGCAGGCAATCGTCCTGGTCCAAGATACTAGTTCAGGATACAGATGCTTTTGCTATCCTGGAGAATCAGTTCGCAGAGTAGGCGGTCTTTCTATTCCCAGGCATCAGCCCATAACGAGGTTGAACTCATTTTTCTGAGTTACACTAATTTACAATACACGCGGCCTGCAAATCTGAAGTACCGGTCTCAGGTACCAAGAAAATATAACAGTCGTTTGACTACTGCTACGTGTATTGTAGAAAAATAAAAGATAAAGTGGTTTTAAATTTTTTTTAAAGAACAAGAAATGGCAAAAGAGAGGCAACGAGAATGGAAAAAAAGGATTTTTCTGGCAATTTTAATACTTTTAAGTTTCACCCTCTAATCCAGGGAGCAAGCAGGGCACAAAATGGGGATTAAATTCGAACTATGACAAATCGGTGTGCATGTATTCGTGTCTGTATGTGTGTGTCTATATGCATATATGTATGCGTGTATGCGTGTGTCTGTATGTTTGTGAATATGTATATGTGCATGTATGTACATCTATATTTTTAGAAAAAATGCGGATGAATTACAAAAATGTATGTAATTCCCAATACACTATATGTATTGTAAACGTGAATAGCGTAACCTCTGCATAAACTATTGCATATATATATAAATATAAATATATGTATAAATATATATATACACCCCCGTCGTTATAAATATGTGTGGGTAGGTCCTTTTTTAAGTAATACTGCGTCTTTATGTGTAGATTTAAAAAAAAGAAACTGTACTTTTGAACCCTAATTTCGCCTAAGTTCATAAACTTAATTCACTTTTTTCCCAAAAACCAATTCCACAAAATTCCAATTCAAAAAAATCGAATAAATTTTAAGGAAAAAAGCTATTTTCATAAATTCACCAGGTTCACTTAAATGCATGCTAAATTATAAAACAAAAGCCGATGGCCGATTTCCTCTCTTTTTGTACCCTTGACTGACAACGGTTTTTTAGCTCTATGGCATGTTTGTAATTTCAAAATGATTCCTTCGATTCATCAGATGTAAGTAACAACTTGATTACGATAAAAGTACATTTGCATCGCTTCCTCAGATAGATGCTTCCCTGATTATAAACGGGTGAATAGTTCGTAATAGCTAAGTTAGACTTGGATGCTTTAAAGGGTAGAAACCGAAGGAGAAGAGGGAAAATAGGAAACTGACGGGGAAGAGGGAAAATAAGAATACAAGAAGAGAGTGAGCTAAGACATTTCGGACTCTTAAGTCATAGGCGCCTTAACACCGCAACAGGACTTCAACAGTGCTGTGAGATTTTTGACTCAATACTCAAAAAAAAGAGGATAAAAAAATACTCGTTTCCAAAGGGTTCTTTTCGGGATCTTCGTTATGCCATCATGTTTGGATCTTCGCATGACTTCCTGAGATTTCTGGTGGGACGATGCAACGGCTGGCAGCCTTTGCTCATCAGTTGGTGATGGTGTCGAAGTTACGCTTCCCATTTCAATCGAAATATCGGTTGTTGTACTGCCGGACTGGCAAACTGGAGGAGACGACAGTGGCGGCTTCTGTGAGGTTTTCTGGAAACGCAAATTATGAAAAAAAGCGTGTAACCAGGCGTTGGTTGCAGTTGTGTTAAATCCTTCTATCTTAAGCTGCGTGCTTCCATGCCTTTCTATGCTACAGATATGAGTAATTCTTTCTGAGGTCATCCGAGTGGCCATTTCTTTTTGTGGTGCCGTTTAATGATACGCCATGTCCAGTGACCGCTGGGGAAACGAGCGATTCGTTTTATCAAGTCAGCTAGATAGCTTGGCCAGAACAAGCTATTTATGGCTTGTCTGTACTTAACTATACGCATAATCAATTTCATGTTCCATTTCACTGCAAGATCAATAGGCTTTTGATTTTCAGAGTTTTGATTAAAGTTTTTGCGGATTACTTCCGAAAATAAATAGAGTTTTGATCAAAGCTTTGGAGCATTTACTTTTAAAAACACAAGCAGTTCTCTAGTTTTAGCGGCCCTTGGCCAAAATGGGCAAAAAGAAGACCTACATGGCCTCTTTTCGATTTCTATCCTCATTTGCTGTAATATTCAAGCACCAAGTTAAAAGTCAAAACCCCATCCGTATTCGCGCTTGATGAAAGGCACAGTCACTAGCAAGTAACCCTGTGGTAGCATTTGCTAACGGTAACCAATAACTGACAATGCTACTGATGGCTAATACAAAACTGAAGTAGAAAAGTAAAGCTGAAAGAACGGAAGCTAAAACTGGGCCAAATTTTGCTTCATTTCAGTCTCACTGATTATATGCAGAATTCAAAACAACTCTTCTAAATTTAACGTTTACGGAAAAAACAGCTCTTTCATGGGTCGATGAATATGTCACTTCCACGCGCACCCACTGCTCGTCGAGAATGGTCAGTGGTTTTTTTATTCGCCAGAACACCTATGGGACATCTATGGCCAGACATGGTCGTTTTCGATCATCACGCAAACAAGATCTTCGTGGTGGAGGTGATTGTAGGCCATGCCATCGGAATAGAATCTCAACGCCGGTGGAAGACAAATTTTGTCCATTGTCTTTTGTTCATTGTCTTAGCCATCGCTTAAGAAGACCGCTTGTGCATACAGGTTGGAGGTGGTTTGAGCCCTAAAACGTATTCAGATGGATAAAGCCAGCCAAGAAAAACATAGCGCTTGCCTAGCTTCAGACTTTGAAACACAGATTTTGTCCAGGAATCTAAAAAACACCACTTACCTTACTGGTCACCGAATTACAAGCAATAGCAGTAGTACTATCTACTCCTTTTAAATTACTTATTGAGCAAGTGGAATTATTCGGTTCAGGTCCACTGTTAGTGGTATCAGGTGGTTGCCCAGTCAAATCGAAGCGACTAGACGGCAACGAGTCGATTTCAGCAAGGATTTGTGAAGTCCATCTGAAAAATATGAGATCTGCTGAAAAATAGAAAAGTGTAGCATCATTCCATGCCCAAATATTTGCGAATTTGTTATCAGCGCCGAAACATTCCTAAATATGTTATCCGGCACCAAAGGATTCGTGGATGCAACCAGTTCAGAATGTAACAGGATGAGGAATTCGCCAGTTGCATCGATGATAAGTAACACGACGATGAAACAGCAGCTAATCAAAGGAGGGGAATTGCCTCGATAAAGTGATGAGGCAGTGGCAGGAAAACATTTTACCTCACCCATATGCGAAGAATCGGATAAACATGTCTCTTAAGAGCAATTCCTCAAACTTTTTTTTTTGGGAACCTTTAGTAAACCCAATCCAAAAAAGCTGTCTCACGTTTTTTGGCTTCAACTATCTTTTAACCAAGTAAAATGCTTGACAAACGACCGCGTCAGGCGCTTGGCATATGCCCGCTCATGGCCCTTAAAGAAATCATCTCAAACATTTTACTGGATAAAAACCACGTCAAATACTTTGGTTCGTTCACGTGGACTGAAACGGCTAAATAGAATTATGCGAATGAGAGATGTCCAAAAGAAAGAAGAATAAGAAGTTGCTAGCTTAATCAGCTCTGGAAAACAACGCGGCAACCTATCAACGTATCAAAATGCTATGGTGGCAAAAAAGTTGATATGAAGCTCTAAATCTATGGACCGAAACACACCTATATATTTTTTTCTCAGGAATGTTAGATTGCGTTGATAATTTTTATATTTTATATATAATTATTATAATCTTCGGTTCAACACAAAACAGTGAAAAAAAACCTCGTCACTGAATCCTGATTGGTGAAATCGATCATCGCACCGTTCAACTCACGAACAGATAATGAGCGTCGGACAAGAACCTTTTTGGATTCCGCATTTTCATTGTGCAAATTTAACCTGAAAAACTACGAATCCCTCATTCCGAAAAATCCCCCAGAATTTCCATCTATTGATCAGAACTTGCAAGTTTTTGGATGGCGCACCCTCCATGATTGCTCAGAAAGAGCAGATGGCTGCTTCAATTTTCTGGCAGGTTAGGGGGACCAGAGCTATTTTATCATCGGAAAAAAAAAAGTCGCAGTTTTTTTTTACTTTCGAGTTTTTTTGGATATAGTCATTTTACCTGGCCTGTGATCCCGCTTTTCTTTCGAACTGGTTATTGTTATTGGCAGTGGAGTTTAATTTTGATCGCAGCGTACGTCGTTGAGCTTTTCGTGCTGCTGGTCCTGAAATTAGCTCATTACGATCATAATCAAGTTTCTTAAAAATTAAATGTTCATGGGTTTTTCGACGATAAATTGGTACTGACATATGCCAAAGAGTCAAACCCGTCATCAGCTTGCTTCTAAGCAACTTTAGGGGAGAGAA